CGCCCAGTCGGTTGAGCGGAGCGGTCTCCGCTCATCTTCCGCATCGTCTGGATGGGACCCCTTTCTCCACCTTGATTTTCGGCTGGGTAACGGATCTTGGCAGTATCAAGGATGTATGCCATGCTAAGTTCTATAGGATCACGCGGCGCAGAGCTAGGCTCGCCAGCTAAAACAATGATCTGTTTCCCAAAAGCCGTCATGCTGTGACCCGATCTAGGGGAAGGGGCGGGTCCCATGTTCTGGAAGGAATACCATCGTCGGGTCGTGATCCGAAAAGCAGCGAGGTCACCCAGATCGATGCCTTCGTCCGTTCGGCCTCCGAAGATATACATCACATCGTTCACGATAGCTGCAGCATGGCCTTCCCGTGGCGTAGGAATAAATCCGACGCAATCCAGTTGAGACCAAGCGTTGACGCGTGGGTCATAGCACCACACATCATTGAACCACTGCACGCCATTGGTTCCTCCAAACCTATGTGAACATTAGCGAATCAAATATGCCAATTGCTACAATTCACAGACGTAGGGAAGGATTGCGGTCATACAAGTAAAGCCGGTCGTTGAAGCTCACAATGGTATGGTTCGTTCGGGCGGGAGGGATCTGGCCCGGAGGCGGACCGCCCTCGTGGCTGTTCCGAATCAGGAACTCCCACTTGTTGGCAGGGCTCTGGAGTTGATTGAGATCAAACGCAACCAGGTCGTTGAAGAAGAAGCCCTCAACCTGCCCACCGAAGACATAAAGTTTAGAGCCTAGGATGTTGAGGGTATGACCGTACCGTCCGGCGGGCCGGGGCCCAGGAGGAATCGATCTCGACCATTGGCGGGACGCTGAGATTGTCAGGATTGCACGTTTAATGGGAGCGACAAAAGGGGCGGGGCGAAGCACAAACATACACGTGTTGAGAAGATAGAGAGTGTCATCCAACGTGTCACTCTCGTCTACCTTGGTGTCACCGCCGAACACAATAAAAGCATTGCCAACTAACAAGCTTGCGTGGCCGACTCGGGGACCCGGCCCTTCGGAAACAGTAGCGATCGGGAGACAGGACAAGTTTCCCGTACTACTTTCCAACATCCAAAGATCACCCTTCACAGTTGATCCGTCTATCAAGCCGCCCATCATGTAAATGTCACCTTCCTTCGACGCCACCGAGTTGATCGCTGCTCCATATCGCGGGAAGGGGACATTTTGAGCATTCGAGAAATTAAGTCGTCTCTGGGACCAGGGGTAGAGCGATGCACCGGGACTGTGATTCGGGGAGGAGCTATTACTGTTTGCCGGTGGTGGTTGCTGCGGTCGTGGACCCTGTATACCAGGAACTAATTAGCCATGACGTACGAGGGAGGCGCTCACATCGCCGCTTGTCTGGGGACAGGAGTTGACTGGGACGAGTGTCAGGGGAAGACCTGGAAGACTAACCTGCGACTCAGATTCGGCCCTCTGTCGCATGCGCGGATGATCGGGGCTGTTGATGCTGGTCACCGAGTTCAATGAATTGTTATAGCTGCTGCTCGGAGTGGGTGTTTGCGAATGGGCTGAATCTCGTTCCTTCGGTCCGGTGGGCGCAGTCGCCGGTGCGTTCGCGGGTGCGCCCTCCGAGCTATGATTGCCTCTGGTCGCCGGAGGTAGCCCAGAACCCTGCTGGTGTTTCTTCGATTTAAAGAGGAATGCCATCGTTACAATTGAGTCGTTAACGGTCGTTTCGAACGCAAATCAGCTAGAAATACAGGGAAAGAAAGTGAGACGGGAGAAGCGACTGCCCGCTTCACAACGCCTCTATTTGCCAGCAGAACCTCAATTGGTCTGGAGTTGAGGGAATGGTAGTGGTGCGATCAACCGCACAACGAGCAAAAGGCGCCAGGCTCTAGATCTGATTTGAAGGAGCGAATATCGGACAAGACCGACTTTGCGTATCCGGAGAACCGCTGGCGATGGGTGTAGGAACCGGCAACCGTTGCGTGTTTGTTCCTGACAAAGGCGTTGACGGAGGGAGGGAGCTACCACGGCGCACCTCCAATCGGTCAAGATCGCTTTCACGTCCTGCGACAAACGAATTGTGCTGCAAGTCTCTCCTTCTATTTCCAAAATAGCCTCGCCACAGTGCGATTGCGACTCCGTAGAAGCATGGGGCAACTGAGGAGTAGAAAAGAGGTAGATAGCAAGCAAGCAAGCAAGCAGGTAAGCAAGCAAACAAACAAGGGTAGGGCGAGGGGGGAGGGAACGGGAACGGCAAGGGCCCCAGAAAGATGAGAGATCAGTTGGCGGATGGATGTATGAGATAAAGAGAAATTCCCAGGGAAATATCAAAGACCCCAAAAGAACAAGAAGCAAAATTCAACAACGGGAAAAACACGAGAAAACAAAATGCTGCTAGGGCTAAGAAGAGCCTTAGGGGAGACTTTGGGGGAGCAACAGTTGAGGGAAGGAGGATGAGGAGGAGGAGGAGGAGGAGGAGGAGGAGGCAGCGAGCGAACGAGAGAGACAGGAATAATGCAAGACTCCGGCGTTTCACACTTTCTAGCGGGCAGCATTAGATAATTCCCGGTTTGGGTCTGGGTTTGGGTTTGGGCGGGCAGTGGTTTTTTGGGGGGGAGAGGGAGGGGAGGGAGGAGGGAAGGAGACCAAGCAAGTTAGAGCACGGAGTACCTGAAGTACCGTAGTCTACTTAGCCCTGGCAGGCAGTTTAGGGGGGATGCCGGGAGAAGAAGAAGAAGAAGAAGAAGAAGAAGAAGAGAGGGAACAGTGCGACACCGCCTCATTTACTACTGATGTGATGAGCTTGGTTATGCAGTTCCTCATTGATCATGTTTTTCTTTTTCTTTTTCTCTTTTCTTGGTCTTCTCTTCCCCCCTCTGACTTTTGATTTTGATTATCGGCACATGACTCTCAGATAAATAAGCTTCAAATGTAATATATTGTACGATCTGAGAGAGAGACAGAGCGGATACAAACATTTGCACCCACGAGGTGATTGTTTGAGTGACTGATCCCTCCAAAGTAAATTGCGTAGCTCTTTCCATACATTCCAATGAACCCAGCCAGCCTACGATATGATTCATTAATACATTTCACTGACCTCTCTGGATGCTCTTGCTTTACTTATTCTGTCGCAAGCTCAATTACACCAGCCTTGAAACTTAATTCTCTACCAGAAATATCTCTTGAATACTCGACAGTTGCCGGCATGTCGACGGTCCATTTGGCCGGTTTTGCCTGCGCGCGCTATTATGGATCAAGCCATGTTTAAATATGCAGTTCCACTGTCATAATCGCAAGTCAGTGGATTGCGAGTCAGGGACCACCGTTTCAAGTGCGGCCTGTGGGGAATCGCTCTGCAGGAACCGCGGCGAGAGGCTGGTGGTATTCAGGTGGTTCCTGAACCACCACATCAACATTTTTGGAGTTATCTTAACTCAAAACCCAAGAACATCATCATGAACAGATGCATGATGCACACCAGAAAAGCATGCTCTGGAGGAAGCATAGTGGGAGGAGGGTGGTCGACCATCCTCATTATACACTGGTCAACCCAGGCCTCAGATTGGTCCCTGGGCCCATCCCTTGCCGAGCGACCACCGTCGTTCATGCAGGAACCAGGCATAGTACTATGTACTGTACCTACATAGTACATGGATGCTGAGCCGGTGCGGTGCCCCATCTATAGTTCCCCATTAATGTACCTCTCACAATTCTCCAACCATCGTTCCATGTGCACCCCGTATGTGGCTGCTTCGTCTGCACATTCCTCCACTTGGCCACACATTGCTGGAGTGGAAGGAAGATCGACGGTGCCTGTCTAAAGACAATGACTGGCTGGGGAAGAACAGTGGCCGTAACCTTCGTATATCTTAGTGTTGCGACAATCGGGTTTAGGTCCGCCCGTCGCGAGCCACCTTTCACCAATTTCGGTACCGTCCCAGAAAGCAGGACAGGACAGATCCAGGGGTCAGTGAAGTGGGAATATCAGGCAGACAACAAGAATCAGGAATCAGGAATCAGAGAAAGAGAAAGAGAAAGAGAAATAAGCAGAGGGAAAAAAAAAAGGGGGCTGGTTTGACTATTCTTCAATTTTTTTTCCCATGCGGATCGATTAAGTCATGCGTGATCGGGGGCCCATCTTAACGGCGCGCGGATGGATGGCCAGGAGGAAATTGCGGATTGCTATTATTGTTCCGTCCAGGAGTCTGGGCAACCGGCAATCTAAAGGGCGGCATGCATGGATGCATGGGGCGTGGGATGGCCGGCACTTTGGACCATGCCCTGCCAACCTCAAGCCAGGCGGCTGTCGTTTCCACTGACTATCACCACCACGGGATAACTACGGAGACCAGGATCTCTAGTATCCTTTTGTTATACTCATACAATTTCTATCCAGCCTTGCGCCTATATATAGTATTGCTCCGCTCAACGACGCCCAGCTTGACAATGCTATTTACTAATTACTCCATCCTATTTCTCTGTTGTGATTTATGAAAGTAGCCTGTAGGTCCTTTGCATGGGATAACCGATAGTAGCCGGCTTTTAGTTGAGTCATCACCAAATACTGCGACACTTCTAGATAGTTGACTAATTAATAGTCATCCAAGTTCCTCGAATCGTGATAATCACTGAAGGTACTCCGTAGTGCGAAGAGATATATGAGTAAGTTAGAATACTGCCACTGATGTAATGCCGCCCGCCGCGGCGGTCTGCAGTCTAGCGGCCGCCGGCGATATCGATATTCCGGGCCAACTCGATGCCAAGCAGGATCACGGCCAAAGCTCATAGCACGCTCAGGCTACTGCAAGACATCATCATTCAGCTGCCTGCACATCCCAGAGCCTGTGCCAGCGGCCTTGACCATACGGAGGGCTGGGGAGTCTCGTTAATTCATCACAACCCACTAGCTGGCAAATCTCCCTTTTGGAAAGAGTGGTAATCTTGTCGATTGACCGCCCGCTCTCCGCATTGGGCGTATTGGATCTGCTACCAGTGCATGCACTGTGACATGATTGTTGATAAGGTGAGAGCAGACTCGCTTCTACCCCACAATCTCCAACACCTGGAAATTCACCCACCTTCTCTCACTGTCACCTTGAATCTGATTACTTCTCCCATATCCTCAGGCGACAGTTCATTTCATCGTACTGGATTGTACATGATGATTATCTGCGCATAACAACAGCACCGGAACTAGAAAATGGAGCAGAATAATACAGACCACCGACAGGCCTCGAGCCTACAGTCCGAACCCCGAAAGCACCCACACAAGTCCGTTCGTGTTGCTTTTGGCCCTGACCTCGAAACTCACATTCCACCCCGCGACATCTCCCCCGCGCCCGTTGCTGGACACCACCGATCCTTCACCACCGTGGAGGCCAAACCGCCGCCTGTGATCACACCGGAAAGACCGACGAGCTCGTCCGCCGGCGAGAACTCAGTTATCTTCGATGTCAATCCGCGACTGACTATGGATCGTCCCGCCGAGTCCGCGCGCCCGACCGCGGCCCTGAAGAGAGCCAGGAGCGATTATGGACCTCGAGTGGGATTTGAAAAAGCTATCAATGGTGACGAAGAAGAAGATATCGCTATGCGCCATGGCTGGCAGGAGGAATACACTTCAAGCGAGTACTTGAAAGTCCTGCATTCGGTGAGCAGTGGCGCTACGCCCCAGGTGCCAGGTTATCCTCTAACAGGCGAATCTCTACCAGAATTTCTACATGTATTTCACAGAAAAGCGCCATGAGACGAATGGAATCCCACGCGACCCTGTCGGAAGCTGGCCGAGTCAAGACTGGCGCATGAAGGACCGTCTCAAGACAGTTTCTGCCGCCCTTGCCATCTGCTTGAACATTGGCGTTGACCCCCCGGATGTCGTGAAGACCAACCCTGCGGCAAAGCTGGAGTGTTGGGTTGACCCAACCTCTACCACATCACCTGGTGGCTCCAACAAGATCATGGAGCAGATCGGAAAGAAACTACAAGAACAATATGAGACGCTAAGCTTGAGAACTAGGTACAAGCAGTATCTTGACCCTTCAGTCGATGAGACCAAGAAGTTCTGCATATCATTGCGTCGTAATGCCAAAGACGAGAGAGTTCTCTTTCACTACAACGGTCATGGTGTTCCTCTTCCTACCCAGTCAGGCGAGATTTGGGTATTCAACAAGAACTATACCCAGTACATCCCAGTCTCACTGTACGATTTACAGTCATGGCTCGCAGGTCCGAGTCTATTCGTCTTCGATGTTTCACATGCTGGGAATATCGTTTCCAACTTCCACACTTTCGTTGAGAAGCATGAGAAGGAAAATTTCGAGGCGAGAAAGAGGGATCCGAATGCTATCGTACAGAATTACGGAGATTGTATCATTCTTGCAGCGTGTCAGAAGGCTGAATCGCTGCCTACGAATCCAGATCTTCCTGCGGATCTCTTCACCTGTTGTCTTACTACACCAATTGAGATCGCGCTGCGCTTCTTCATACTTCAGAACCCGCTTCAAACCAATATCTCCGTTGACGAATTCAGGGTGCCTGGTCGCCTACAGGACCGTCGCAGCCCGTTGGGAGAGTTAAATTGGATTTTCACTGCGATCACGGATACGATAGCTTGGAACACCTTGCCGCGAGCCCTCTTCAAGAAACTTTTCCGTCAAGATTTGATGGTGGCTGCCCTGTTCAGGAACTTTTTGCTGGCCGAGCGGGTAATGCGCACCTACAAATGCCATCCTATTTCATCGCCTGAATTACCGGAGACTCATCATCATCCCCTGTGGAAGAGCTGGGACCTGGCTGTCGAAATGGTTTTGTCGCAGCTTCCCGCCCTAATTGACCATGAAGAGGGTCGCAGGCAATATGAATACCAGCATTCGACGTTCTTCGCGGAGCAGCTTACTGCATTCGAGGTTTATCTGTCGTCTAGCCCCACAGAGAAGAACCCACCGGATCAGCTCCCAATTGTCTTGCAGGTCCTGTTGAGTCAGGCACACAGATTGCGAGCTCTGATTCTGTTGAGTAAATTCCTAGATCTCGGTCCTTGGGCGGTTCACCTGGCTCTGAGCATTGGTATCTTTCCTTACGTCGTTAAACTGTTGCAGTCTGCAGCCCAAGAACTCAAACCAGTCATGGTATTCATTTGGGCCAGAATCATGGCAGTTGACCACACTGTTCAGAATGACCTATTGAAGGACAATGGGATCCATTACTTCATCTCCATCCTCAATCCATCTTCCCCAATCCCTGTGGGCAACGCTAGTGAACATCGGGCTATGTGCGCATTTATTGTCTCAATCTTCTGCAAAAATTACCCTCAAGGTCAAAACGTGTGCCTCTCTGCCGAACTTTTTGACTCTTGTCTCAAGCACTTTATGGATGTGGAGAATCCGCTGTTGCGGCAGTGGTCGTGTCTCTGTATCAGCATGCTGTGGTCCGACTTCCCAGAAGCGAAATGGATGGGTATTCGATGTGCCGCTCCTGCCCGGCTCTGTGAACTCAATTTCGATCCTGTGCCTGAAGTGCGAGCTGCCATGTTGCATGCGGTCACCACCTTCCTGGGTATCCCGGACTTAACCGACCAGGTAGCCCAGATTGAGGAAACCTTGGCCATGGCAGTATTGCCCATGTCATCTGACGGCAGTGTACTCGTGAGAAAAGAACTCTTAGTCTTCTTCTCGGCTTTCGTCAAACGCTATCAGAACAAGTTCTTGATTGCCGCATACGAGGAGTTTCAAGACGAGAAGCAGAACTTACTCTCGAAGCTGAAACATGCAGGATCTCGAGTCCCTACTCAAAAGGAAGTATCAGATGTTCCCGCAGTCTCGAGTCGAAAGTCGCATAGCCTCTCACGAAATACCACCTTTGGAACCATCTGGAAGCAACTACTAATTCTCTCTGTTGACCCCCACCCTGACATCGCGCAGGACGCAGGCATGATCGTTGACTTCATTCACATCTGCCTCTTGGATTCGCCGATGGCTTCATTGACTAACCAGATTCGAGACGAAATCCTGGACCTTTCTAATCGGGTATCTCAGAAATTGCAGGTCGAGAAGCCGGAATCAACGAAAACCGCGCCTCCGCCGACACCACCCGCTGTCGCCCCTCCCAAACAGGAAGGCTACCTTTCACTAAGTATCAAACGAACTGCGAGTGTGGCGGCCTCGCTCAAAAACCTGGCCTTCGGAGGTTCTAATGCGTCTGACTCTCAACCGCCCCAATCGCCTCAATCTCTCACCGCGCCCAAAAGCCGGATGCCTATGACCCCAAGAGGACGAGCCCCACCCGAATGGACACGACCCCCGGAAGTTAATGACCAAGTTGCTCCTGCAACAGCCTATAATCAAGCTCCTACCCCTACATCGCGAGGATTCGAGCCCCGGGAATCCGTTGCGGTCCCATCCATTCCCTTGATGAGTAGATTCCTGGACTGGTCCACAGAGGTAAAATCAGAACTCCTTCACCTCATGAGCGATAAGTTTCACTACGAATTTGAACAATTTCTCACCCGTCTTCAGTATTTCCGGGAACCCCAGATGAAACCCAATGAACCCGACGAGCCCGGTAGTGCCGATTACAACGAACGCCTCTGGAGACGAAGCCGTAATGAGAAGATCATCTCTGAGACCCAGCCTCTCAAGGGCAAAGCAGGCAGCAGCCGATGGGATAACTCGTTGTCTCTTCTTTCTAACAGCAGTCAGCCTCTGAAGATGTGCTTCCATCAATTCGAGGATCACATTGCAGTTGCAGATGACAAGGATACGATCGCGTAAGTTCTTCACCTGTCTGAACCACACTGAGTATGCGCTGAACCCTTGGTAGAATTTGGGATTGGCAGAGACATAAGCGTCTCAATCGCTTCTCGAATGGTAACCCGGCTGGCTCCAAAATCAATGAAGTCCGATATATCAACGAGGATGACCAAGCTCTGCTGATGACGGGGTCATCTGATGGTGTTCTGAAAGTTTTCAGAAACTACGAGTCGGCGCATGATGTGGAAATTGTGACCGCTTTTAGAGCCCTACCTGAACTCATTCCCAGCAACCGCAATGCTGGACTTGTTCTGGACTGGCAGCAAGGCCAGGGTAAGGCATTAGTTGCAGGTGACGTGAAGGTCATCCGGGTGTGGAATGCGGCTACCGAAGTCTGCACGAATGTAAGTCACTCCTGGCTCAAGATGCCGACTAAGGCTGATCAATTCGCAGGACATTCCTGCTCGTTCGGGCTCTTGTATCACATCCTTGACATCCGATCAAGTAGCAGGAAACATCTTTGTGGCAGGATTCGGTGACGGCGCAGTTCGGGTGTTTGACCAGCGTCTCAAGCCCACAACGTCTATGGTCAAGGTCTGGCGCGAGCACAAGCAATGGATCACCAATGTTCACATGCAGCGCGGCGGCCTGAGGGAGCTTGTGTCCGGGAGTCGCAACGGCGAAATCAAGCTTTGGGATCTACGTATGGACATGCCCATCTCCACGTTCTCCGCCACAAACGACACACTGCGTACACTAAGTGTCCACGAGCATGCTCCAGTCTTCATGGTGTATGTATCCCTTATGATCTCCCTGACCATTTTCTCTTCGAAAAGAGAACCCTCGCTAACCTGTCCGCAGAGGCACAAACCGTCACGAAGTGAAAACCTTCAACGTCGATGGAACCTATCTCTCCACCTTCGAGCCCTACTCGAGCTTCCTCCATCACAACCGCTCCTCCCCGATCGCCAGCACCGCATTCCACCCGCATCGGACCGTTCTGGCCTGTGCGGCACTAAATGACCACCATATCAATTTGGTGACATGCTAGAAGTCCACAGAGTATCCAGCCACACTTTTCTACCACTGGAGCTACAGGAGACCACCCATCCTACCCACCTGAACTGAACGCACCGTGAACGAAACAGCACCTCACTCCCTCCAACCGACTGTCCTCTATTAGCGCAACCCTCTCACAGACACACCACCGGCGCCAAGGTTCCATCGATATTCCCCAATTCCAGAATCCATTTCCGTTCCATCCTACCACGTCTCTTTCTTCCAGTAATACATCGCTACCAACCGCCCTCTATGTCCTCCCAAACCTTACAACAACACCCCAACCGCCTGAAACCCCCTAATATCCCTCCCCCCACCATCAAGTTTTGACTTCATCCGGCGTAGACCCACTCGCAAGCAACAGCAAGTTTTTGAATCACGTTAGCAAATCGGCGCTGCGGCTATTTTACACCTTTTTTCTAATGTGTCTTCGCTTGTTTTCACTCACACACAGACTTCGGGTTCTCATTCTGCTTTCTCCGTATGCATGCATGTATGGTTGCTCTCCCTTGCCCCCCTTGCTTCCACACACTCAGTTGGTGATGGTGATGCAACGAGCGATGCACTCACACGATGTGATTCGTCTCCCAGAACCGCCCACCTTTGCTCCTTCCCACTTTTCCTTTTCCTTTTTTTTCTGTTTTTACTTCATTTTCTTTTGTGTGGAACGTCAGTCAGTCATATGGGATGGAAATAGTAGATAATTGATCACCATAACTACACTACCCTAGGTAGCTAGCTAGGTAGCGAAATGAGAATGGATGGGATGGCGGATGTACGGCATCAGCATCAGCATCAGCATCAGCATCAGCATTCCGATTCAACTCCGATTCTTTCTCCCCTGTCCTATTGAGTTGTAGTTCTAGGGGTTGTTTGGTGCTGTTAGTTTGTTTGGGAAGGGGTTTTGTTTCTCGACGTAGTCCACACTGGGAGAATCAGGTAGTGGCGGGGATGCCTATTTCCTGCACATACAGTTTTTTGGGTAGATCCTGGTAGCAACTAGTGAAGCAGAGGATGGAAAGTAAAAACAAGTTACTCGGCAAGATATGTGTATTATCGTGATGAGCTTTTCTGGGGTTACCTGCAACAAGCATGGGATCTATGTAATTATGTGACAACGAATCCACCGGGCATATCATGTAGACAATAATGCTGAGCGTCGTCAATTCCCCATGAGAAATCCTTCATAAACCATTGAGCTGCGAACCCCTTCTGCTTGAAAAGATGTGAACATGCTGTAGAAGCTTCAGATGCAAAGACATACTCTACAAGCGGCCTCCTCATTGGGCAGGGGTGGGCGTTTAGTGCCAGTTTTGACAAAGCCACCTAGAGCAGCAGCTGAGTATGACTACACATCTCCATCCCATCATGGATCTCACCACGCATTACCCAAAGAGTCGTTCTCAGATTCTTCATCAAGGACAGTATAAGGATTGGTAGCCGAAGAAGTTCTGCGCCGAGCAAAGCGGCCGAAATTGGCAGATGGCAAAGTCTCTCGACCAAGAGATGCCCCGCCGATGGTACACCAATCCAGTTCGAAAAAGGTTCGATGCCTATCAGAACTTGGCGAGGAGCAGTAAGATGGTGCTGGCGTAAAGTCTGCAAAGTTGCCGATCTGCTGCTCTCGGTCTCCCAGGACATACGAAGTCAAGTTAACAAGCGCATTGCCCATAAGTTCACTCATTTCTCTCGCAGACTTGCAGTCCTCTGTCGAATAGCCTCGTTCCTTGAGTTGCTCACTATGATCCCGAGCGAACAAGGCAACCTGAGCGCGAATGGTTTCCTCCCCGCGACTATCCCGCCGAAACCAAGCGTTGGACTCCTCCAGCCTGGCCTGGTTCTGAATCAGGCTGTCCACGTACCAGGCAGGCCTTTTCGTCAACTGAGTTGCAGGTTTGGTCAGCCCAGGTGGAGGCCTCAGAAGCTTGCTCTCGCTTTTCACGGATGAATCTGGAACGTGTCCGAGTGTGTTCTTGATGCCGCTTTGTGAACCATACCCGGATGAAAAGATCTGGCTCTTAATATAGGCTGAAGCCTGTGCCTTTAGATCCAGTGCAGTAGCTCTATCGACGACATCTCGTGCTTTAGCTGATGACACTGGCTCCGAAGACTGTTTGACGTCCGCAAAAAAGGAACTCCTGTTGAGGGAATTGCCCCAAGCCCCAAAACGCCTCGCTTGATATATATTTTGGGGCATGTATCGAGACATTGGAGGCCAATCATTAGCCGTCGTTCCTTTATCAAGGTCTAGAGTGGCCCTTTCAAGAAGATTCCAAGTGGTACTCGCAGCCTCCTCTGGTTCTAGTTTCTGCTTTCCAGTGTGGACTGAAGCTACTGAACGGGTAGGCTCAACAGCACTTGCAGAGGCACTTGCAGAGGCACTTGCTCGGTATCCGTCAGTACTAGGTGCTTCGGCTTTATGAGGATCTACTGTGGCCTCTTCTGAGGTTCCTTGTGTCATGGAGTGTCTGGGTCGCTTTCCACCACTTTTCAGCAGGGCGTTGACCTCTTCTTTGAAGATCCGTCTCTTTTCCTCAGCGGACAAGCTACTTGTGCCATTGCTCGAAGAGATGCTCTTCTGCGCGTCTGTCGCCTGGTGCTGACTGGGAGCACGATACGAAGATTGAGTTGACTCCGGATACTTAAGTGCTGCAGACCGTGCGGCAGGAGCAGCACTCGAGAATTCTGAAGCCAGAGAATTTTCCTTGGATGTGTAGTCTGAATTGTATCTTTGCTGAGATCCAGACATCGGAAACTCCAAGCCCGACGAGATTCTGCGAGACTCGGCGCGCCGGAACCGCTCATGTTGAATTCGTAAAGTTTCATAGGGAGAACGATTATACGTCTGATCAAAGTTTGCGCCATAAAGATGCAGAGATGACGAGGGGGGGCATGATTCCTCAGACGCAGAGTCGTGACTGAAAGATCCTGTCTTGGGTCCTTCGCAAGAGGATCTCTGGCTGGACAAGTCCACTGGCCAGACTGCCCGATCACCACTAACATTGCCGCCTCGTCTTTGGAATGGACTCTCCGAAACGCAGCTGCGCGATTGGTGGTGTGAGGCCGAGTGGGAATAGCTGGAGCTTTTCAGGTAGTTCAGAGGATTTTGCAGGATTGGCCCATTGCCAGCTCCATACCAGCCTTGGTCAGACTTCGCCTCGCTGAGATTCTGTCTTTTCAGGCGGGTAGGTGTGACTTGATCTTCGTAGGAATCAAGATCACTGTCACTGGGTTTATAACGTCGAGAAAGACGCGCCGAAGGATTGTACTGGGTAGTTGCACTGGGTCGAATTTCGGTGTCATCTCGTTCATGAATAGAGTCGAGATAAGATTCGCTGTAGTTATACCTCTTAACACGCGTAGGCGTAGAGGGCTTCAGAGTGATATCATCAAGACCAGTAATACTAGCGTGGCGCATAGACGATGGACGACACGGAGACCTCGGCGAGTCAATTGCATGCAGTTGTAACGCGGTTTCCTCCGCATCGAGAAGTGAGTCACACGGCATATCGCCATAATGTTGGCCTTCCACAGCCTCAGTGGTTGACTGATCTTCGTAAATCTCAAAGGAATTGTTGATGGATCCACGAAAGGTGGAGAAGCGCGAGGAAGCTAGATCTTCATCGCCGCTGCTTGCTGCCCTGACACTAACACGAGCCGCACTCTCTAACAGATATTGCCTCTGGGCCCGCGCACCTTTGTTTCTTGAGCTTTGCTTCAGACATAATTCAAGTAGAGGAATGGGCTGAGAGGAGGCAAGATCATCCAAATTATGGAGCTCATGGTCGTCAGTCTGTCCAAGATCTGGCTGACGGCAAGCGGCAAAGTCTTGTTGACGATAAGGGAACCTCCGTGATGCCATAGTAGGGGAAGACTGATAGCTTGCAGCTTGATGAGTAGTACTTTGTGTCGATGGGGTGTTCTTTAGCAACTCCAACGAAACTGAACAATGCTTCGGGGTTGAAGCTGCGAGTACACCCGCTGAAGATCCCCAAAGTATGAGAGGAGACTGTTCTGATATTGTTTTAGAAGACGGTGGCAGTGGTAGTGAAAGCGACTGAGCTCTTTGGCGAGAAACAGGAGTTGTGGGTAGGTGAGGAGGACGGACTGGTGTGAGTGACTGTAGAGACTAAGTAATGGAGAGGCCTCGGTTAATGACAGTACATAAAACGTGAAGCACGCTGAGAACAGACTGGGCGATGGGCTGGGAAAGGAGACTGAGGTGATAACTGTACCGCAGTAGGTGATATGTTCTTGAGCCACTCTGTGGTCTGAGTACGCCTGTCGGGAGAGTGAAGATGGTGCAGTCCTACAGGCGCCCTTCCCGGGGGTAAATTGTTGATCGTCACCGAGCCTTTGCCTCTACGACCTCGCTGTCCTGATGAGCTCGTCAGCTGCCTGCCTTCATCTCCCCCTTTCTAGCAAGATGCCAGTCGAGTATTCACACCAGTCATTGCCCTCCATCATCTTCTTTCTCTTTCCTTCAAGACTGGTGGTAGAGAACAGAGAGAACAAAAGGGAGAAACACCTACTGCGCCGTTGTTTTTTGGGCTTCAACATAAGCGACATGGCAACAATCTGCTGCTAGACCCCACTGGCTGGTGAAGCTCTCTGTTGTCATGGGGTGAATGTGGTCCATGGGTGAATGTTCGCTGCTGGCACAATGAGATAGACGGTGAAAAGAAACCATGTCTCACTCAGTTGTGCCTTCCTGCGCAACGTGCCAGCTGGTAAGGCAAACAGGGAAATCTGTGTCCAATACTTGGGCAGTTGTCTTGGTAGAGAGTTACAAAGAAAGAACTTTCCATCCCAGGACCATAAGAAAACAATCAATAATTATTAGACTAAGAACATATACTAAGTACTGAGACATAAAGATAGCAATGACACTATTCCAAAGCCTGCCGATCCCAGCGTGGAGTTAGCACATCACATGAAGAATCTGATCACAAGAAAACATTGAAGCAGTCATTCAAGTACACTTATGCTGATCTGATCATGTTCCTACCGGTAATTACGCTGTGCCCCACCTGCGGTGCGTAGGTTGTCTGACGCCATCATATTGGATCCCATCATGTTAGCACCCACTCGGCCTGAGTCGAGCTTACCTCCTGAGCTATAGTCATTAGCACCAGCGCTCAGCTCCCCAGTCCCATGAGTATTATAGCTGCTACTTCCATCTGCACCTCCGCCGCCGGATCTTTGTTGAGTGCGGCCTTCCATACCGGACGAGTAGGGTCCAGCGACATCTGCAGCCTGAACTTGATCGGATCCACGATTATAGCCACCCGGACTGACATGCTGCACGCCGCTAGTATTTCTAGACTCCATCTGCCTGGAGCCAGAGTCAGGGCCAAGGCCAGTCATGCCTGAACCATACTCATCCTGAGCAGGATTGCGATTCTCAGCTCCCCGACCTTCGCTAGATCGGAATTCGTGGCCACCCGAAGGCTTTGAGTCATAGCCGCTAGTGCGTGCTTCATAAGCAGCCGTGTTCTCCCCGGTGTCATACGCTCCAGAGGTGTAAGGGTCAGCACTAGGTTTCGCACCGGTGTCGCCGGTTTGAGGGGCATGGTGTCCAGTGTCAGATTGGTTGTAGGCTCCAGAGCTGGCGTTCTCGGCTTCGGGAACGGATTCAGAATTGCCCGCGCCTGATTCCAAGTCAATCGGGTTGGAGGCGCAGCATGGGAAAGCCTAGCATGGGGAATATGCTTATACTTGATTTATGACCATGATGGCCTGTGAAGGCATCTTTCACCTTGTGCATGAGCTTGGACATGACGGACTTGTGGAATACTATCGATTTTTAGTGTTGAGTATGCAAGGAAAACCACGGGCTTGATCGAAGTTGTAGTAGGTGGGTTGAAGCGTCGGTTTTGGGCTGCATGTAGTCTAAATAGAGATTCCTAGCTCAAACGCCGGGTCGGTTCACGAGCAGCTCCAGAACAGCTCCTCAAAGGCGACAAACCTTAATGTTAGTTTGGTACATGGTCGAGCCAACAATAGCACGCCTGTCCGACCATATGACGTGCGGATACCAATTGTGGTTGATGAGAATAGAGAAAGAGGTCAGGAATGTGAATGTCGTTCACGTCATCTGGCGAAACCCCGTCAATTCCAGACCGTGTTCTCATCAACGGGCACCAGCCACAGTCCCGCCCCCGCCATGGGAACGCCCAAATGGTCCCACTTTGATGATGGCACGAGAAGTTTAAAAATACTGCCCATCGGTCGGAAATGGGGTGCGGCATCGGCAGAGCCAAAGTTGAATGAAGGAACACCAGTTGCTTCCACTACCCGGATGCCTTGTCTCTCAAATTATTTGCACTAGGATGTTGCTGAGCCGGTCGAAGGGTAGCGAAGGGGATGAACCGTGATCTGCAAGATAAGTTGAACCTCATTGGAACGAATTGGGGTGGGAAAAGATATCCCAAAGGACTCGCAAATAAGACAGGACTGTTGCACGACGGAAGAATGCCGATTGCGTGATTATTTATTCGTACTCGTTGTCGAGGAAATGGAATGCTAGGGAGTCTGAGATCATCAATGTTTGTGACTGGAAAGGTGGACCCTCCGACTACAGAGTGGGTGGAGATGGTGGATGATCGGCGGGTGGGGGTGGGTGGAAACGAGGAGTTCATCTATGAGCATCTTTGAGAAGGTGGTTAGAGAATGAGTGGATTGTATGGGTGAGTAGTATATATTTACTGACCCTGATAAGTATGAGGGGAAAGCGGGTTGGTCCTTGCTCATGTAGGATGCTCAATCGAAAGTCAAAGGGAGGAGGAGGAGGAGGAGGAGGAGGAGGAGGAGATGATAATCGCATTGATTGATGGGCAGGACAATGTGGACATTGAACGGGGCGGAACCTTCGAACCTTGGTTGCCTGACTTGGCCTGAGTTCCCAGGATGCATGATGCCCACTAACCACCAACACTAGCCTCAGGCAGCAATCGCCCCGTGACCGGGTGACTGGGGGCTGAGGCTGTGCTTGCGTGTCAGTCTCAGCAGGAGTAAACGCTGAAAAAAAGAGGCCAGTCACTCTTTCCTTCATCCATCCTTACTTCTCTTTCCTTTCATTTACATACTAAATCACTCGAAACACTTTTTCCTCTGTATTGTCCTGCATCCTCATAGTTGTTCTGGACGACCAAATTGGCGCGCGCGTGTTGACATCCTTCCTTTCCGCCCTCCCTCCCTCCCCTCTCTCTCCCCCTCCCTCCTCCCTCCTTCTCCGATTCCCCCCCTCCCTCTTCGCTTTTGATCGCACTTTCGGGGAGGTTCGACCTTCTTTTCATGCGAACCGTCGGATTTCTTTTGTTCATTGCCAACCAGTTTTCCACCTTTTCGACTTCGATGAGTGCGGCTGCTGTCGGCCTGCAGCGACCGTCTGACTGGTCATAAGATCCACTCTCTGCCAGCAACCGCAGGGTGCCACCATTAATTAGTACCACCTCGATAATCACAACTCTACCTCAAGGTTATTATCGCGCTGCCTGGATACTGGACGCTGACCGTGGAAGGTCTAAGTTCTCACTTCTGTCACCTACTACACCATCTCCAAGACGGTCATTGTACTGCATCACCTGGGGACTAGAAGCATTGCGTCACCATGCGACCACCACGCTTGATCGTGATTGTGTTTTGCTTGCTCTTCTTCCCGATCTTACTCACTTTCTTCTCGGCACTAACCACTTCCTCCCGCGTCTCTACGCCCAGTTCGCTTGCTGGTCAAGCGTCGGGTCTCCATGCCCTTTTCTCCTTTAACCTTCCATCCTCCCTCTTCCCGCCCTCCGCAATCATCAGTTTGACCGATGACAACTCGACCTTTTTTCTGGCCAGACCTGCAGCGTTTGGCCCATTGCTCCCAGACAAGGGGCTGAGCGGCCAACTCTGGATTGGAAGCGGGTTTGGAGAACGCACGACGGCGGGAGCGGAGGGGGAACTGGGCTGTTCAGATATTCCGGGATGGGGCGAAGGCGACCCTCACAAGCCAGGGACGGCCGACGGAAACACGGGCAAACCACGAACCGGAACCACGAGCGAGGGCACGAAAAAGCAGGCCGACACTCACTCAGATGCCGACTCCTCTCGTCTCCCAAAGGAAAGAGCGGGGATCGGCCTTTCGACTGATGACGGAACCGATGATCATCTGCACCACCCCCTTCCGGAGTCTGCAGGGACAGATGCAACTGCTATGGAGAAATCCGGGGATCACTCACTGAGCCTACCCACAACCCACGCCGATATTCAATCTCTGCAGGAAAGTGCGGAGATTGACGGCAAGGTGGTCCTGTTGAGTCGGGGTGGCTGTGGCTTCCTCGAGAAGGTGAAATGGGTGCAACGGCGAGGAGGTATTGCTCTGATTGTTGGTGACGACACTCGGGGTGGAAGTCTAGTCACTATGTATGCACGCGGCGATACGTCGAACGTGACAATCCCTGCGCTGTTCACCTCTCACACTACCGCCCATCTGCTTTCTTCCTTGGTTCCGGCTCAGATGGTCGAAGGTACGGAGGCGGATGACGCTGCGGCTACTCAAACTGGCCAGTCGGGCCATCGCACTTCTGGGAAGCAACATATTCACACAGCAACAACCACAGTAGTGGCCGCCTCAAGTACGCCCACTAAGCACACGATGGCCGACAACAGTGTGGCCCCCGCCAGTCCGAAAGGCGGTCTTTTTCATGCCTTGCTGTCCCTACTGGGCCTTGGTAGCAGTGGAAGACGACCGTGGTTCTCACCTGAAGATAGTCGTCGCCCGCCAAACAGTGGAAACATCAATTGGATCATGCTAGATCCTTGGGATGACCATGCACCATCCCAGCAGCAGGCAGATGTTAGCCGCTCTACAACAAAAGCAGATGGAGCTACCATCAACCGCAAGAAGCATGGGTCATTGTCGAGCGGCTCGGATGCAGATGGGTTCGTGATCGGAGTCCAGGACTGGCGAGATCCAGACCTAGTCGCACCGAAGGGCAGTGTTCTTCCGACACCCACTGGTGTGGTGGGTGTAGATGGGAACAACGTCCAAAGCAGTGACAAAGCCACCGCTGCCGCTTTGAAAGGCGGCAGCATCACCCCTGGCAGTGGCGAGTACTACACCATTGACAAGTCTACTATCTCGCAGAAAGGGAGCTCAAGCGGCTCGCAGTCTCAAAGCTCGCATCATGGCAGCAGCGAAGATGACTCATCGTCTGGAAGCGGTTGGCTTTCCAAGCTCTGGTCAAGTAGACAAAAGCCCGACGGAAGCCGGGATTCGAGCGTCAAAGATACACTTGCTGCAGAGGATAAGCTCCGCAAGCCTTCCTCAGTCAGCCAATCAGGCGCCACGACAGCTGACCACGAGGGCTTGTGGGTCACCTTAACGCCGACGAGCATGTCTACCAGTCCATTCTTCGACACGCTCCTTGTCCTTGTCATCAGTCCGCTGCTTACACTGAGCGTGGTGTACATTCTGCTGTTGCTCCGGTCCCGCATTCGCCGACGAAGATGGCGCGCCCCGAAATCTCTGGTGGACCGCCTTCCCGTGCGAACGTATCACACAATTACCACCTCATCTTCTGCCTCTAGCTCACCGCGGTCCGTCAGCCCTGGCCCGGTCTCGCCTACATCGCCCCTTCTGGGTTCTGGAAGCCGCTCAGACACCAAGGGTGCACCCAAAGTGTCGTCTACCAAGAAGGAGAAATCTGGATCTACTCTCTGGCGACGCAAGTACACGGGACGACAGGTCGAATGTGTTGTTTGCCTGGAAGAGTATGTCGATGGAGAAAGCCGGGTGATGAGCCTGCCTTGTGGACATGAGTTCCACGCCGAGTGCATGTAAGGACCCCAGTTGATCTTTATCATGCCACATCTAACGCTGCACAGCACTCCTTGGTTGACTACACGCCGACGAACGTGTCCGATTTGCAAGGGGGACGTCGTTCGGTCGATGGCTCAAAGTAGGGCCGGCGATATGCGCGACCCCGCTGCGGAGCAGACAGTCGGGGCAGGTCAGCACACTCGCGAGGTTGAGTCACAGCACAGCGTATCCTCGGCTCCGGTCCCGATCACCGGAGGCAGCGAGGACGAGCTGTCTGACGTGGAGCACCGCGCAGGCGCGGACGCGGGAGTGCATGAGGCACATGCGTCGTCGGCGCCACCGACCTGGCGCAACTACGCGGCGTTGAGCTACTCTGCGCTGAGCGGGGACACGATCTGGCACCAGACTCCGACGGACGGGCGGCAATGAAGCCGCGGGCGGAAAAGTTGTCTTCCCAGCGTTTGGATTCGAGCATGTGCTGCATTAGCGATCTTTTGATATCAGGGTTGTATGTTGATGGCGTTTGCGGGTTAAGTAGGCGTGCTGGCGCGGCTCATGGCCAGGCGCCGAGCCGTCAACCGGGGATTACTGAATGCCATGAAGGCGAGCAGGGATGGCTAAGTTAGATAGCATTGCTTGCTAATCATAATCGTAGCGTACTATCTCATTGCTACTTTCTTTCAGTGGGCTCCAGCCTTGTGATGGTTGCAGGGATGATGATCCTTAGCTGCCTAGCTTGAAGTCTGGTACAGTCCGCATATATAGAACCCCTCACCTTCGACCCCTGAACACTCCTCTTGCTCATACAACTCTTCCTCGACCTCATCTCATCGTACTCTACCCAGACTCAACTTACAACAAACCCATCCAACCCAAGATGACCACACACACCAACCACCCCCCCGAAACGCCCAGAAATCCTCACATGCTGCCTCCGCACCTCCTGCACATGGCACACCCCCCTCAAACGACACTCCGTCTACACCACCGGCCACCACCCCACCCGCGCCATTGTGCTGCTGCACCACCTCCTCGGCTGGTCCTTCCCCAACCTCCGCCTCCTGGCCGACCGCTACGCCCACAGCGCCCCCGCCACCGTCTTCCTCCCCGACTTCTTTGGGGGCGAGAGCCTCCCCGCCGGCCCCATCCTGGCCGGCCGCTGGGCCGAGCTCGACCTCCCCGGGTTTCTGGGTCGGAATGCGCGCTCCGTGAGCCGGAGATCGTGGCTTTCGTGAGGTATTTGCGGGGGAGTTTGGGGTTTGAACGCGTTGTGGAGCTGGGGGGTGGGGGTTTTGGGGAGGATGGGAGTTTGGGGGAAAGTGAGGGTGACGGTGGTGATGGTTACGGTGAAGGGCAACCACAATACCTGGTGGACTGCGTGCCGATCGGCCATCCCAGTCTATTGACGGAGGAGGATATTGCCGGCGTGCAGGTGCCGGTGCAGGTACTGGCGCCGCAGAGGGATCCGGTGTATACGGCGCAGCTCAAGGCATTCACCGTCCAGAATCTGCAGGAGAGGGGGGTCCCGTTCGAGTATCGGTTTTTTCCGGGGGTGGAGCATGGGTGTTTCACTAGGGGGGATGAGGGGGTTCCGGGGGAGAGTGAGGCGGTTGGGTGTTGGATGAGGGGGTGGTTGTAGCTTTCTTTCGGTAGGGGGGGTATGTGTGTGGGATTGAAGGAAGGTGTAGGAGGATGGAGTTGGAGATTGATGTTGTTTGTTTGTGGTGAGTTTACATTGTTTGTTGTTGGCGGTTGTACTCGAGTATACAGACAATCGGCTTATCTTATCGGACCTTGGAAGCTCTTATCGATAAGCCCGGCCAAGCTCTTTGCGACATGATGACGATCATCTCCCCCTCCCCTCCTCTTTTGCTCCTTCAATCAGCCCAATTCTTCCACCACCACTACCACCACCACCACCACACCAAACCAAGCACCACCATGTCCGCCCTAAAAGAAGCCCTCGTCAACGAAATCGCGCACCTCCGCGCCATCGCCAAAGACCTCCTCTTCTCCGGCACATACATCTACCCCATAAAAGCACGCCTCCCCAGCAACCCCCATGCCTCCCTTCCTCTCTTCCCAATCCATCCCCAAGAGCCAAGAACCAAGACCTAACCTAATAAGCAACAGGGCATAATTTACACCCTCCACCACCAGCCCCTATGGACGCCCCTCCTCTCGCGCTCAGCCAAAACCCTCACGCTGGGCCTCGGCATCACGACCACGATGTTCTTCTTCACCTACCTCCCGCAAGTGGCGCTGCTCACCTTCACCGCGGGACCGTTCCTGGCGCCCTTCTCCGCCGCGCTGCTCGTGCTCTCCGAATCCTCCACCATCACCACCTACCTGGCGCGCTCGTTCCTCCTGGCCGACGCCATCACCGACACCTTCGACGCGACGCTGCTCGAGCGCGGCGAGGACGCCCTCGTCGCCCGCGAGCGCGCCGTCGCCGTGCCCCCATCGGCGTCTAGCACCAGCACCAGTGGCAGTCCCCGCCTCGGCAGCCGCCTCAAGCACCCGATCGAGAAACTCTCGCCGCACATGCTGCTGCGCTCGCTGCTGTACCTGCCGCTCAACTTTGTGCCGGTCGTCGGCACGATCGCCTACATCTATGTGCAGGGGAAGCGCGTGGGGCCGGTGGCGCATGCCAGGTATTTTCAGTTGAAGGGGTGGGGGCGGAAGGAGCGCGAGGGGTGGGTCGAGGGGCCTGGGAGGAGGGGGGCGTATACTGCGTGAGTTCTCCCCATTCTGTTATATTGTGGGATCAAGGGGACAGGTGGAGCTTGGGCTAATCTGTTTCGCTGGGCAGGTTCGGGATGGCCGCGTTTGCGTTGGAGATGATTCCGTTTGCGTCGATTGTGATGGCTTTTACGAATACCGTGGGGGCGGCGCTGTGGGCGGCGGATTTGGAGAAGGCGACGCGATGAAAGGGTTGGGGGGTTGGGTTGGGTTGGGTTGAGGGTGAAAAGGGTGGGTGCAAGGTTGAACCGGGTGGCTGCGGGGTTGGGGTTGGGGTTTAGGGTGTTTGGGGCTGTTGCGAGGGCTGTACTGTATATTTGATGATGGAGTTTTGTAACTTTCTGTAGTGTATTTACCCCGGAGCACATATGTAGTCATAGTTCACGCTGAATGCCATGTATTTGCAACTTTTGAAAGTCACCGTACGCAGCTATCACTCATTCAACTCATGCTCCGCCAGACACTCCTCCAGCAGCTCCGTCATCAGAGGAACCATCTCCCCCCGTCGGATGGCCCGGTAGAGCACCCCCGTGTAGGAGCCCACCGTCGGCGCCTCGCGGCGTCGACCCGTCCGCATCGCTTCAGCCGTCGGCGTCAGGATCTGCGCCGTGCACAGGAACGGGACCCCCAGCGTCCGCCGCACAAACGCATAGACCTTCTTCGCTGCCACCCCCAAGTGCGCACTGGCATTGCCGTGGATCAGATACGCATCCCGAGTGACACACCACCCGTCCAGAAGCAGGGCGTCCGTTTCTTCGACAAAGCTCTGCAGCGCCCCGAGCAGCTCGGCCGACGATGTACTAACCCCCACATGGTCGAGGATGGGCACCCGCATGCTTTTCGCGATGTGCAGGAACCGGTCCTTCGCATCCATTGTGACGGTGGAGTCGAGCATCGTCTCAAGGTGGTCCCATATCGCACACGAGAGTGCTTCCACGTCTATGGATCCGCTGTCATTCTCACCGTCTGCATCGGGCTCGATGGCTTGCAGCAACTCGTCGAGCAGCATCGCAAACGGACGACGGATCGAATCCAGGAACTGCAGCTGCATGGCTCGCAGGTCCAGGGCCTGGCAGGCGGAGAGGAGGTGCGCGGCAGCGATCTCGGTCAGCACCCGCACGCCCGTGGCGGTGTATCGGGCCGAGATCAACGCCAGGGAGTTCAGCGACTGATTGCCCATCTCCGCGTTTTGGACGTGGTTCACCGGGCCGGCGAGAAATCCCAGCTCCGACTGGAGAGCAGAAATGTAGATGTCGATCGCCTTGAAGATCCCCGACTTGCTGGGCTCCTCGGCTACGAGGTTCGGGGGCAGGCCCCAGCTGGTGGCGGGGTTGATCATCTCCTGGCACTGCGTGAACAGCATGCGGCCGATGGTCTGCACGCCTTGGCGGCTCTTTTCCATTGCGGCGGTCACGGCCTTGGCCTGGAAATTGCCCCCATGCAGGAACGCACCGTCGTGGGTCACTAATGGGTTGTCCGTGGTCGAATTGCATTCGATGCTCATCTGCTGGTGGGCGAGGAGTAGATCTTCGAGTACCGGACCGAGCCACTGCGCCGCAGTGCGGATGGAGTATCGGTCTTGTCGCAGAGCCCCGTCTTTTCCGTCTTTGATCCGAGCCAGCTGGGACCCCCTCAGGAATGCGCGGATGTTGCGAGAGCTCTCCACTTGCCCCGGGTGTGGACGGACTTCCCCGAAAAAGCGATCGAAGCTCTCTGGTGATCCAAGTAGCGCTTCCACAGTCATGGCTGTCAGAATCTGCGAGAGCATAGCCAGTTGCTGCACGTCATGAAGCACGAGGGCACCACAGGCCGCCGAAATGGCCGTTCCGTTGACAATGGCGAGTCCCTCCTTTGCCGTCAGGTCCACTGGCGGGATACTGGCACCAGCGAGGGCTTCATCTGCGTAAAGATCCTGATCGTGAGCAGAGGTGGGGAATACCCGGATTGTAGGCTTTCCCTGGATGACACCGCTGATATATGCCAGCGGGCTCAGGTCCCCAGAAGCAGAGATACTGCCGCGGGTGGGCACCATGGGAATGATATTGTGCATTAGCAGTGCCTCCAAACGATCCAGGATGACCGGGCGGATGGCCGAATGCCCTCGCAACAACGTGTTGATCCTTAGGAGGATAGCACCTCGGACCCAGGTCAATGGCAGGTAGTACGACTCGTTCGCTTCCTCCTGTGACAGGTCAAATTCACGATGGTCTTCACAAACGCTGCGTCGGCGCGGTTGAGCATCGCGTGAACCCGGAGGAAGGATGCCGTAACCGAGTTCTCGAGTCAGCACCCGCTGAAGCGCTTGGACATCTTTTGTGCGAGTATGTGCGGAGGCACCAAAGCCGGTGTTGACACCTAGTAGTGAGCAGATGCATCAACGTCGGACTCACAAACACTGGTATTGAGAGGCTCACATACCGTAGATCACTTCTCCCGACGAAAGACTATCCAGTAAGGCATTGTGACTTCTATTGACCTCAGAATATGCTGTTGGAGCAATTTTCACGCTCTGAGCATGTCTACCCATTGTTAGCGCAAGGAGGCTCTAAAGGGATTTGTGACACACCTTGCAACATAGACGACTTGTGGGATGTCCAAAGTGTCACCATCGATGATCACTTCCACCCCTGGTTCGCTGGCTAACTGGCGGCACAACTTCCATTGTTGCACCACCAAGGACGTATGGAATTTGTAGGACTGCATTCTGGGTGAGAACAGGAATGTCCGCGAGCAGTCGCCAGGTGTCTGTTTTTAAGTACTGTACCAACTCACTACAATTTGTGGGGTTTCAAGCCCAGTCGTGACAGTAACGAGGCTACCAGCGCAGTCAGACTTGTGCAACATCGAGTTAGGCTTCGAGATTAGGCTGTCACTCTAATTCCTTCCAGCGCATAACACCGCCGAAAGGTGGCATATCATCCAGACCCGCTTCTCCGCAGGCACTTATGCAAGGCGACGCCTAGCCCGGGGTCTGACCCACCAACGCTTACTAGTGTCTTATCGGATTGTAAGAAAGTAGTATCGCGTCTCAATAGCTTCATGTAAGTATCTACCGTCATGACACCTGTGGTACGGGGTACGGAGTATCACCTCTCAAGCCACTGCCACTCGAACTCCATTTTTGGACATCAGCGCAAGACCGGCGCTCTCAACCCACCCGTTTGGATCTCTGGAGTCTATTGAGCGAAAATGCTGCGCCAGACGAGTGAGGACATAGGTAGCTTCGTTTAGGGCCAGATCCACTACAAGGGTGGTTGTGGCGTTACTACGGACGCCGCCATGAGCACGGATTGGATGGAAACACTTACTGCCAATGCAATTCCTCGGTCCGCCTAGGAAGGGGATGAACTTCTGTTATCAATTAGGAGCTAGCTCTGATGTCATTCGGAAAGACTCCTTACCCAATTCTGCTTTTGGTCGAGCCAGCGGTCGGGGTCAAACTCTTCTGCGTCGTCGCCCCAGAGATCGTGACGGCGGTGCATGGCATACGTCGCGATGTGCACCATCGTACCCTTCGATACAAAGATCGGCGACTTGCCGTCGGCCCCTCCGCCAGTGGGAAGAACCGTGTCTCTGTTGGCAGTTCGGGAATTGGAAGCTTGTGGTGGATGGATGCGAAGGCCTTAATGGGAAATTGGTCGTTAGCATCGTCGTCCTATCAGGTGTGCAGACCTCTTACTCTCGAACACACAGCCATTCACATATTTGAGACCTTTCAACTGTGGCAGGGTAGGTGGCTGGCCGCGTAAGTGCTGTACTTCTGAGCGCACGCGCTCCCATATATCAGGACGCTTGGAAAGAATGAAGAATAAGTTAATTAAAAGCGCGGCGACGGTGTCTGCACCGGCAAAGTACAGGGTTGTGATCTCGTCCCGGAGCGATAGTTCAATCTGTGATATCTGACTGAGATGATTCAGAAAATTTGGTCGGTCCTTCTCATTCTCGTCCTTTCCCAAGTCTTGATGATTTGCCCTGATTGCTTTGTCGACATGTGGTTGGATGAATGAATGCACTGTACGAACATGCGTTATAAATGCTCGCTGTGGCCAGAGGAAGGCAAAGCGTCCTAGCAACCATCGAAACTCACATCCTGCCGCTGCCTCGTAGAATGCGTCCAATAAGCCTGACTGGAGCCTATCTGGATGCTTGAGCGATTCAAGTGACTCCCCGAACAGGAAGTCTGTAGCAACATCGGCCGCAAAACGATGGAACAACGGAGCTAAGTCAAAGGTTTCCCCGGTGATGGGGATAATGTCGAGTAGATTCTTAACATGAGGCTCGAAAAGCTCAAGGTCACCAATACGAGCTTGTGTGAAGCATTTTTGCAGGAGGTAACGTCTCGATCGCCACTGCATCCCGTCGATTTGAAAGATGCTGTTCCCCAGCAAGGGTGCAAAGGCCCTATGGCGTCGTGCTCCAGTATCAAAGTCCGCGAAGTTTGTGGAGAAGATGGCTCGCACATTGTCAGGCTCGATTGTGTTCAAAACCCACTGTCCTAGAAAGAGGGATTGATAGGTGTTTCCAATTTCTTGGTGGAGTTGTTGCTCGCGTCTCAGGTAGCATTGGCTCTTTCTCGCCTGTATCGAGTCACGTAGATAGTCAGCCCCCAGCAATCTCTCCCGATGGGGGTAACTTTTGGGCGGCTGGCAGCCCTTCAGTCGAGCTAGCTTGGAGTAGGCAGTGATGGTGGTAATGAGATACCATCCACCCACAAACAAAAGGCCCCCGATTATGGTCAATGGATATTCTTGCATCATGACGAAGACAATAGCTGTGGCTGTGTGATCGGAAGAGCAGAGAAGCGAGAGAAGCGGAAGAAGCAGAAGAATAAGATAAGATGATGGAGGTAAGTGAGCCAAAGAAGAAGCATGGGATTGGAAGAAGCCGGTGACAGCTGCACGCCTGACTGTCAAACACGGTGGGTGCATAGTACATAAGATGCGCGACTCCGGACGGTAAAACCCCTCTCATACCAATAACCTCTTTAGTTTGCCATAGTTCTATCTCTACCTCTGTTCTCCTCATCTTTCTCTCCATCACCATCAGCATCTGTCTCTATTGTTCCACTTATCCTCCTGTCACTTTGGTCTTCCTGACATTTGGACATTCATCAAACTTTTCTTTTTCCAGGCTTATTTTCTTGCATAAAGACAGATACAATGCCTATTATTCCGAGAGGAGTTACTTGCGTTCCGAGCCATGGTCGACTACAGTATGCTCGGAGCCGACCCCGAATTCTCGGTGATTCACCTGTAAGAAGTCAAAAGCAAACAAACCCTTATTCCCCCCTTCCGGCTGATTTGTTACACGTCTCAATCAATGTCTTGAGCTTCTTGTTGACGTCTCACATTTTCAGTATAGAGCGGTTCTTGCACGTTCAATAATGTCACTTTCCTCGCCAGTGCCCATGGAAACATCCCCGTGTAGCCCAGAAGACCTCACAGCGATCGATACTGTCTTCTGGAAAGAGACACTTGGCAGGGACTTGCGGATTCTTCTGGATGGCGCTGAGTATGATAAGTCTACGCAGCAGGCGGCTCTTGCGACAATGAGCCGCTATGTGGCCCCTTGCTTAGGGCCGCGTCCTTTGATGGGAGAGACTGGCAGGGTCCAGCTTCGTCCAATGCGATGGAGAAGTTTCATGACGGACGACTTTTCTCCGATAGAATACAGTTGGAGCTGGGAGAACCTCACTCCCACCATCCGCTATAGCTTCGAGCCAATTGGGAGGCTCGCAGGCACCTCACAGGACCCTTACAATCGGACAGCACCGTTGGGATGCGTGCAGCAGCTACGGGGAATCCTTCCCGCCGCCGATTGGCGTTGGTTCGATCACTTTACCCAAGCCTTTCGGGGACCGACGCCTCTGCCGCGCAAGGGGTCACCCTCCCACTCCAGCCCCTCGACAATTTTCCTGGCCTTCAACCTGGAGAAGCACGGGCACAGATGTAAATCCTACCATGTCCCACATTCGACATCGGATCAGTTGGGCAGCTCACGGCTTGACGTTCTGCATCAGGCTTGCCAAGCCCTACAACAGCAACATGGGCTTCCAGCCTACGACTGTATCGAGCAATTCCTGCGACGGCAGGGGCAGTCGTCCACCCCACCCATCATAATCGGGGTGGCGGTTGACTGCGTGCATCCATCTCTTGCCAATCTTAAAGTGTACTTTCGATCCCGTGCGACCAGTTTTGACAGCGTTCAGGAAACTCTCTTAATGGCAGGCGCATCGCCAAGCTGGGATACCCGTGCCCTGGAGGAGCTTCGAGAATTGTGGCTTCTCACGTTAGGGCTGCCATCCAATTTCCCCAATCATCAGCAACTGCCATCTAAGGACCATGAGACATCAGGCGTGCTGTACAATTTTGGATTCAAGCAAGGTCAACGGTATCCTGACACCAAGGTGTACATTCCGGTGCGGCACTACGCGCGCAGTGACCGAGCAATTGTTCAGGGTCTGGTCGAGTTCTTGGCGCGTCGTGGGCGAGCCCAGCAAGCCGAACGCTTCGCGCAAACCCTCGAACAGCTAGTCGAATCCTTCCGTTCCCTTGATGAGGCGTGCGGACTGCAAACATACATCGCTTGTGGGAATAAGGACGGGCGGCTTAGTCTGACCTCCTATCTGTCTGCAGAGATATACTACCCCGGACGGTGGTCTAGACAGCCGTGATATGGAGATTGCGGATGTTATTTGCCAGCAAGATCTCTCCGCAGGAAACATCTATTGCTTGTTGGGTGCACAATGCTTTGTATAAGTTATGATTCGCTTGTCGACTCGAGAATGAAAGATCCTCACTAGCTAGCAAGATGCAGCTGGGCTTGGCTCCTGGCAAATCAGGGTCCAGTTTGGTTCATGCAGTAATATGCACTGAGTGAGCATGTAGCCTGCGACTGGATCCTCAATGCCAATCAGCCTTTCAGTCTGTACTACTCCCGTACTGCTGTGGTAGTCGAGTTACTTGGACATCCTGTGCCATTAAGTATGAGTCGACACAGCCTAGTCATACAAACTAGGGCTCGGTTGCCTGACATACCATGGAATGAATCGGGCTGACCGAGAGTTATTTCGAGGGGGGGAGGTTGGGGGCTGAGGGACAATAAGAGTCCATGGATGACCGCCAGATCGTCCCATTGTGGAAATGCCAACTGTCGGTCGGGAGGGGTTGCAGCGAGGGGGTTTGCCAGGCGGAGTCGATTAGGTAGGTGGTAGCAGATACTCACTGGTAAATCCTCCCTCTCTCGGCGCTGACCGTCTCACCAATTTCTAATGCAGGTGGTACAGAACAATCAATCCAATCCCCTTCACCATGCCACCATTCTCTATTCGGCCCACGCCTGCATTTCATGTCTCTAGGTTGCGGCGACTTCACAAGGCTTAGCAAGCAAAGATGAGATGTTTAGCTCTTCTTCACTCCTGTGGGTGTAACCCTCCTACCAGCTTCTTTTAACTCTCTCCGATCGGCCGATCGAGCTGAGTTGAATCATAGTCGGATCGGATGCCCTCGTGAGAGACAGCTGCCGGCAATAATCATGGCGGCCGCTGTCACGGACAGCTACCTGAACGAAGATATCTCGGGTCGACTCACGGCCGCGACGACCGTCATCGTAATACTCACCACTACTCTTCTAGCCCTACGCATATACGTGCGGAGCCTTGCCCATGTCTCCAGCGGTTGGGACGATATCCTGCTGGCTCCTGCTTGGCTTCTTTGCCTGGGAGCATGTATAACATGTTATAGTGAGTGAAAATGCCGATCCAGCATCTCCTGGCCATTTCAACTAAGCCCTTCCCTACAGTGGCCATCACGCATGGAGGTTCCGGTCGTCACGTCGAAGCCGTGATGATGGACAACTCCAAGAAGTTGATCATACGTGGGAAATTGCTCTATGCTCTCAGCTGGCTTACCGCTTTCGCGAATACCTTCTCGCGGACCTCCATCTTGGTCCTGTTCCGGCGCATATTCCCCCCGGGCATCACGCGCATCGTGACGGACCTCACCATCGTCTACTTGATCCTCTTCGTCCTCGCGCAGGCGATTGTCGGGTTAACGGAATGCCGCCCGCTGGCATACTTCTGGGACCGCAGCATCCCCGGCGGGTGGTGTGTGGATCAATTCCTCTTCTACCGAATGTCTGGCCTGCTGAATATCGCTGGAGACGTGGTGATCCTGATTCTGCCCATTCCGACCGTGTGGACGCTTCATGCGTCCCTGGCCAGAAGAACCGGGATTGCCATGGTGTTTCTGTCGGGCAGCTGGTATGTGCCATCATCGTCAACGTACTCCTGTGTAACGGAAGTCTAATGAATTTGTAGTGGCCTCATCGCCTCGTGTGTCCGAACCTCCTATTTTTTCACAGCCGCCAAACTGTCGATGACCGACCCGACCTGTAAGGCACCCTTCCTCCTTCCCATGTAACCACGTGATTGGTCTCTGACTAGCTGCAGGGGCGGACATCAATCTAATGACCTGGACGACCGTTGAAAGTGGTCTGTATCTCTCGGCTGCCTGCATGATAGGACTGCGACCCTTGCTCAACCAAGTGGCGGGCTGGATGACAAGGTCTCGCCTCGGGGTATTCACAGCCAGAGGCACGAAGGCTCGGTCGCGGCGGAGCGATCCAGATGACGGATCACAATTGATTTCGAATATGAAGCAAGACCATATCAACCTGGAGACCTTTGATCGAGACCGAGATACGGACGAGAGGTCAGCTATAGGGAGTGGGGCGAAGCAGCCCTCTGTGGTGTAGGAGGAGCTCTAGCCAAGCAAGGGTGTAAAGAATGGACACGCGGTCACAAGATCGCTGAACCTCGACACTATAATGCCTTTAGATAGTCTATGGCCACTTTTCAATTCGCAAATTCAATATACAGCTCCCGAACATCTAGTAGGCACTGCAACCTCAAGTCTACATGTGCAGAAGACTATCCACGATTATGCTGTCTCAATCACGTCATATTGAGGATGGTGAACTAGGATTTCACACTTTGAATGGGATTTAATGAGCTGGTCATGATATTACTAAGGTCAATTTTGTGATATTTATTATCATCACATTGATTGCCTTGTCTTGTACCTGTTGAGTACATATTACCCACCCCATGGCGAAGTGCTTTGTCTTTCAGTAAGGGGCAGTTACTCCAACACAGCTGGATAAGAAAACACACTCAAAGGTTTCAGGAAATTCTAGTATTCAATTAGAGTATGGTAGTATATGTATGACACAAAAACAAATGCATTCTCAATTTAGATCGCTCTCTAATTAAAAAGACTTTTGTACAGAGTATTTTGTACGGGCGGAGACACCTTTCGTGGGATCCGCGAGCCTTTGCTCTCCCTTGTTTCGTCCTTAGGCGAAGAGCGCTTTTTAAGCTTGGGTATCTTACTTGTACGGTTTGCCCGACGACCATCCCCAGGCTCTCCTGAAGGTTCTGCCTCGGGATCTTCATCATCATCATCATCCTCAGGGCTACTCGCTCGGTCCTGCTCTTCAGCGTCAGAGTCTTTAGAATCTTCTTCCTGGTCCACCTCTGGGTCTGCAGCAGGATGATTATCCAGATCTTCCTCCGGGAAATGGGGGCGCTCTTCCTGCAATTCTAGGGGATTCCCTTCAGGGGAGTCTTGAACCTCCTCCTCCGGCTGATCTTCGTGAGGTTCCTCTTCATCGTTGGCAGCATGGTCTTCTTCTTCGGGATGCAGATCATGAGAGTCTTCGGGTTCCTCGTCTGGGACGTCATCTTCCTGGCTCTCTTCTCCCGGATTTATGAAAGGGTTCCTCTCATACTCTGCAGCACGCTCCTGTTCATCAAGGTGTTCTTCCGGGTCTCCTTCCGGGTCTCCTCCACGAATCGAGCTGCGGTCAATTTCTACCATCATAGAATCTCTATCACGAATCAGCAGAGGGCTAGGACTACGAGAACCTGCATCACCCACAGCCGAGGTCCTTGCAGCTAGTAGCTCGCTGCGGCTGCGGCTGCGCTGTCGCCCTCTGGCGTCATTGGCATGCTCGTACGGCTCGATGCCGATCCTTCTCCCTTGAATGTGCATCTCCAATAGCTTATCCATTGGCCCGGGGAGAGCCAGCAGCGCAAGGTCGTCGAGGTGGCCCGCAATATGCCGCAAGAGGCCCTCATTTCCGTGTCTCCGAGCGCCGTGATCGCCTTCGCGAAGACCACAGAAAGGACACTGCTCGATCGGATGAGCTTGCTCGCTCGCGCTTGCACGTCGGTGGTCGCCCATGTGCTTGATCCACGCCTTCATGCTCCCGAAGACGCTGGAGCACGAGCCCCAGAGGCACAGGTAGGGTCGCACGTCCTGGAGGACGTGATCCTCCCACCGGACCGCATCGAACTCCCCGACTGGGAAGTAGACCATGCAGTAGGGGCAGCGGAAATTGGGCTCACCTTCTTTGGTTTGCGGCATGGGGGGCCACGTGAAGACGTCGGGCATGGCCCGCGATCGTTGCACTCTTCCACAACTAGTTTTCCGCATGCTGGACCCGGCTCGTCTGCCATGTTTATGCTGGTGATACCCGATGGCGATGCGGCTGTCGACCAGCCTTGTCCCGAGCCGATCGCGCAGCTTGGAGTCGACGCAGGGGAACATCTGCTTGATGATGCGAGACACGAAGTCCTTGAACTTCGACGTCACGTCGTTGTTGTCAGCATCCAACACGGAGAACATGGAGGGGTCCTCATGCCTCCGGGGGCGATGCTTGCCGTGCCCTTTGCCCCGAGCATCGGATCTGAGCAGATGCACGCGCATCTTGTTGATGGAATTGTAGACGTTCCTCAGAAAGGTGACTCGGGGCGCTGTCTTGACCAGGAGCACCATCAGATTGACGCGCATGAGCCTGAACAGATAGGTGAATAGATCCATGGTCGCCGGGTGCTTGGCCTGGTATCTCACCGATGCTTTCTTGCTCGTCAAGAAACGAGATTCCTTGACGAAGCGTCGGAATGTGTCATGGACATCCGCAAACGAGAGGGTTCTCTGCACCCCGTCGTTGACCAGCTCCTGTAGCATGGCGTCGCAGATCTGAGCCTGGCCGTAAAGACTCCTGATGGTAGTGAACCGGGACATGGCGGTGTACATGTCGACCGCAGACCAAGGCGTTGAGTATCAGCAACCTTGGGCTAGAGCGTTTTTCGAGTCCTGGGTGGGATCCTGTCTCGAGGCTATTTAAGTTGATTTGCGTCTGCAGCGGCTTTGTTAGTGACTTGCGAACAATGGCATTGTTTTGACTTCGAGTATCTCGTTTTTGGCTGTTTGTGTAGACTTTACTCCCCGGAAACCTACCGGTATTGTCTATAATGTCTTTGCAAGCGAGACAAAGGTTCATTCGATAGTCAATTGAGAGGGAATTGATGAGAAAGAAACATGATCACTCTCTATTGTCTCGCTTCTATTATATAGTCAGGGTAATCTGGGTTGTTCCAGCTGTGCTATGCTACAGGAGACTGAGCTTCTTCAGCCAGACCATTCTCCTCATGCCTCGGTCGGGACCGCAAGCCTCACTGGATATCTAGCGTATTATGTCGAGTCAAATGAAGAGACCGACATGTTCGTCTAACTTGATTGACTACAACATATTGCTCTATGAATAATACTAATATCGAGTGCATGCTTGGAAGAGGAAGACTTTGTGCGACACACTCCCTTGCAGCTGATTACCGGGATGACATTCTCATCTTCCCCTCCCTCTTTCACACACTCTCATTTCTTCTCTTTCTCCTTCCCCTCCACTCACTTTCTTCTCCATCTTTCTCAAACCCATAAGACACTACCATGGAGCGACCAACATCAACCTTCCCGCTTCCAGGCATTCAACACGGCCAGCGAATTCTCGCTAGTGTCGTAGAGAGCCGTGCAAAGAACGAACCCAACAGCGCGTGGGTGTCCGTCCCCATTGATGATGCCGAGTTATCGCGGGGCTTTCGAGAAATCAGCTTCCAGCAATTGAACAACGCAGCCAACCATGCCGCCCACTGGCTCCACCAGCATCTGCCTGCCACGACGGAGCCATTCCAATGCTTCGCCTATGCAGGTCCCAAGGACTTTAGGTATCCCATTCTTGCAGTGGCCGCAGCCAAGTTGCAGAAAGTGGTTTGTTGCCGTGGATGTCTCCTGCCTGCAGGGAAGTCACGTTGATATCGTCCTCCAGATCGTACTTCCTTCTCCCCTCATCACGCCCGAAGCTCAACTACGTATCTTCCGGCAGAAGAGCTGCGCTGTGTATCTGCGACCTGCGTCAATGGTAGACCATGTGGCGGCTATTCTTCGGGAGACACCTGAGATTCGGACTTTGACGGTTCCTGAGCTTGGGGATTTCTTGCAAGATGCTGAGGCTGCGCCGTATACGTATGCTAAGACTTGGGAGGAGGGAAAGGATGATCCGTGGATTGTCTTTCATACGTCTGGCACAACAGGTAGAGATCCATCTTCCATGGATTATTTTTATTAGTCCACTCCCAGCTAACAAGTTTGAGTTAGGCTTCCCCAAACCTATTACGTATACCCATCGGATGATGACGAGTCCAGATATTGCTGCCTCTCTCCCGGACATCGAGTACACTCACGTGCATCAATATGCTCTCCAACGGTGGTATACACCGCTACCTTCGCTTCATGTGTGTATAAAACTATTGAGTCTACTTTCTCGCTCGGAATACTGACTCCTCTAGTTTGTGGGAACGGTGATGACCCTGTCCATGACCTCCTTCGTCCGCATGGTCGCGGTCGTGGGTCCTTCCGCACCCCCGTCGCCCCAGGTTGTTGCGGACATCCTGCGTTATGGCCGAGTAGACGGAGCCTTACTCACCCCCGCCCTGATCGATGAGCTATGTCTCATTCCTTCGGGCCTGGAGGCTCTACGCAACCTCAAGTACGTGCACTTTGCCGGGGCGCCTCTTTCTGCCAAAGCCGGTGCGCAGCTGGCTCCACATGTTCATCTAGTGCCCTGCATAGGCAGCACCGAAGCAGGGGGCTATTTCACCACAATACAAGACAAAGACCGTCCGTGGGATTACATCACCTTCCAGAAACACGCAGGCGCCGAGTTCGAGCATCGTTTCAATAATCTACATGAGCTGGTCTTTGTTCGGCAACCAGAATGTGCTATGCAGCAGATCTTCTCTGCGTACCCGGACAGAGATCGCTTTGAGACTAAGGACCTGTGGGTTGAGCACCCTGAGCACAAGGGCTCGTGGAAGATTATTGGGCGTACCGACGATTACGTGGCGCTCGCACACGCGGACGGGCTGCATGCCTCGCTGTTGGAGCCTGAGGTCGAAGCCCACCCGGGCGTGAAGTCGGCTTTGATCGGTGGCCACGGTCGTCCAGCTCCTGTGCTCATTGTAGAGTTCTTTTCCGACGCGCAGGAAGGCAATGATCGTAAGACTTTGGTTGAGAGTCTACATCCGTATCTCGAAAAGGTCAATGCGCATGTGCATGACTGTGTGAAACTCTCGGCGGACCGGATCATCATTGCGAGCAAGGACAAGCCTTTTGTGCGGACGATCAAGGGTAGCGTGGCCCGATTGCAGACTCTCGGCCTGTATGAGGATGAGATCGCGGCAATTTTTGGCCAGTAGGTCGGCGATGAGTCTGACAACAGTGCCAAATGCAAAAGTAAGAATGGAGAAACGAAGTTATACTCGTGGGTCATCACATGTCAATTTTTGTAAAATATGAATCCCTTGTAGAGTGCGGCGTGCATGGTCTAACCGGAATTCATGTGAACAGAAATCAGCTGAGATCAGCACTAGTTCAGTCAGCTTGTGTTGTAACAATGGGGAAATCCACCCGAAAGGGCCCTGGAACTCCGCACTGGAACCTCCCCCGCACCCGCACCCGCACTCCCAAGCTTTCCTTCTACTCCACATCCCCAGAGCTCACCACCACCACCACCACCACCACCACCACTGTCGACATCTAATCTTCCAAATAAGCCATCATGGAGACCAGTCCATTTCGCATTATCGAGCACTCGATTCCCGGCCAGCATATCCGCGATCACCACCACGCCATCAGAGGCCGCCAAGAGACCGCTCTCCGCCTCGCCATCAAACAATACATCCCTGTCGACCGACCCGACCCGATCCCCGAGCATGCTGTCACTATCATCGGTGCGCACGGCACGGGCTTTCCCAAGGTGAGTCAATTCAGTGAAGCCCAAAGAGTCGCATCTAAGAATAGAGTCCAGGAAATCTACGAGCCACTATGGGAAGACCTCTACGCCCAGATGAAGCAACACTCGATCCCGCTGCGGGCCATCTGGGTCGCCGACGTCTCGAACCAGGGCGCCAGCGGAGTGCTGAACGAGGATATCCAAGGCGATCACAGTATGCTTCCAGCCCCGATGTCAAGAACAACATCATCACAAACTAACGCCACCACAGCAAACTGGTTTGACCACTCCCGTGACCTCCTGCACATGGTCAACCACTTCCGCGAGGAGATGACCCGTCCGGTCATCGGAGTCGCACATAGCATGGGATGTGCGCAGCTGTATGCCTACCTAGCCTCCCCCCCCCCATCCTCCAAACCATGCGGGACTTTTCTGATAACGAAGCAAACCAGAGTCCAACTATCAATCATGCACCCGCGCCTCCTCTCCACCCTCATCCTCATCGAACCCGTCATCCTCGACTTCGCCGGCCGCACCGCGCGCAGCCCCAACCCGTCCCGCTCCGCCGCCCTCCGCCGAGACCTGTGGCCCTCGCGCGCCGCCGCCGAATCCGCCCTCCGCAAGTCGCTCCTGCGCCGCTGGGACCCCCGCGCCGCGTCGCGGTACCTCCACTTCGGGCTGCGCGAGCTTCCGACCCGGCTATACCCTGATGTTGACCCCAGCACTCCCCCGAACCTCGGAGACAGCAACAGCAGCAGCAGCAGCAGCAGCAGCAACAACAAAAACTCCCCAAAACCCCCAATTGCCCAAAACCCACCCCCACCCACCGCGGTAACCCTAACAACCACCAAACACCACGAAGCATGGAGCTACAGCGTCCCCAACCTCGAACCGGCCAGCGCACGCCTCGACCCGCTCTTGCTGCCGGACTGGGACGCCGACTTCGAGCGGCCCTTCCGCGTCTCCCGCCCGGAGTGCCAGATCAGCATGCGCAATCTCCCCTTCGTGCGGCCCAGCGTGCTCTGGGTCTTCGGCGGCAAGAGCTATCTCTCGCCGCCGGCGGAGCAGGACAAGAAGGTCCGGTTGACGGGGTCCGGGGCCGGCGGGAGTGGTGGGGTGGCGGACGGGAAAGTGGAGAAGGCGGTGCTGGGGCCGGGGTCGCACATGTTGGTTGTGGAGGAGGTGGGGTGGTGCGCGGGGACGGTTGCCGGGTGGTTACGGGGTTGGTTTACGCGGTATGAGGCGGAGGAGCGGTTCTGGGAGGTGTATCGCTCCAGAAAGTCGGAGGGGGGCGAGATGTTACGGCTTTCCGGGGAGGGGTTGGAGGCTTCGGTGGGGGATTTGGGGGTGGAACGGCCGAGGGGGATGGGGAAGTTGTAGACCTGGCTGCTGGGGATGCTGGTGCTGAGGTATTCGGTGGGGACGGTTGGTCTTGTTGGTTGCTTGCTGGGATAATGAAGGGTTGTCCGCATTGATACGCGTAGGCTCGAGTCGTGGGTCTAGTAGGCTCACGCTGTAGGAGACTCCCACACTTCGCCATTAGATCAGTTCAGGGAGAAAGATCCATCCGACAGGCGAAACATGACTATATTTCGAAGTAGGAAGAGGAGTTCACATCCCTAGCCACGCTCTAAGGCATCATGCAAACATTCGAACGAACAAAGCAACATGCTCAAACAAACAAACAAATCAGTCACAGTCGCTTGCTCATCCTGCCGACAGACAGCAGATGATTCAAAGTATATGCCCATAAAGATACAAACAATGTACAGTACATACACAACCCCCCCAAACCATGACAGAACCCCCGGGTCCACAGTATATACACACCCAACCCCCTTCCCCTCAAACCTCAGCACCCGGCACACACCCCCAACTGCACCCCAGCCTTCGGAACGGCAAGGGCCGCAGACTCTCCCCGGACGGCCGCGGGCCCTTCAACCCGTTCTCATACGTGCTGCAGTCCCACCACTCGATCCACTCGGTGCGCGCGAGTACGAACCCGCGGTGACACACGGAGCAGCTGCGGCCGCCGGCGGCGCGCACCTCCCTTGCGTCGCGCAGCAGCCGCAGCATCAAGGCCGGGTAGCCGGCCAGCTCCGCGTCGTGGAGGAGATCGAAGGCCGGGGAGCGGGCGAGCGAGAGGAGGGCGCATTCGCGGAGGGAGGGGACGCGCGAGGCGGCCGGAGGCGGCATCACGTCTTGGGGGGTAGCGTCGGCGTCGGGATCGAGCTCCATTGCCGTCGGCGGCGGCTGCTGCTGCTGCTGCTGCTGCTCGACCGGCAGCAGCACGCCTTCGGCGTTGTAGCGACGGACGGGCCCCGTGGCGACGTGCACGGGGGCCCAGGCTTCCTCGGGCGCGGGGCCGTCGTAGACGCACGACCGCCGCTCGCGGGGGACGTGCCACTCCGCCACGACCGCCGCCGCCTCGTCCTGGTCCCCGTCATCGATCTGCAGGAGCGGGTTCGGGCGCACGGTGAGATGCTTCAGGTCGCCTTTGCGGATCAGCCACAGCAGCTCCCAGGGGAGGGTGCGCAGCCGGTTCACGGAGAGGTTGACCTCCTGCAGCATGGTCAGGCGGCGGATCGCGGGCGGGATCGCGGTGAGCTTGTTGTTGCGCAGGCTCAGCACGCGCAGCGTGTCCAGCTCGAAGAGCTCGCCGGACAGCGTGGGCAGGGCGTTCCCCGCGAGGAACAGGCGCAGGAACGGCTCGAGCGAGGTGTACACGTCTTCCGTGACGGGGGGTTCCGTGATGGCGGGGAGTTTGGTGAGGTGCTGCAGCGGACGCAGCAGGCCGGATGGGATGCTGCGGAGGTTTCCGCCGCTGGTGTTGTTAGTGTTCATGCTCATGCTCGCCCTCCTTGGTGGGTCAGAGTTGAATTCTCAGGGCAGAATCTCACCTCAAGTCCACGCTATCATCCCCCCTCTCCAGACAGTCGTTCACAATCGCCCGCGCGATCTGATGCTCGCGGGGCTCTTCCTCGATTCCGCGCCTCAGCCCTCCTAACACGGTAGCTCTCTGACCCTGACCGTGCGAACTCGTAAACCCAGAACTCTGCTCCCCCCATTGCTGCTGCTGCTGCTGCTGCTCCACCTCCACCTCCACCCCCCTCTTTGCAACCCCATTCCCAACCCCCTTTCCAATCCCATCAAGCCCACCCTCCCCCTCCCCATCTCCAACAAACTGCCCCCAAACCTCCTCCCCCCACGACGCATCGGAGCCCAAAAACCCTCCCGCCGCGGAATCATCACTCCCCATCCACACTCCGCTATCCACCAACCTCTTCTCCCTGAAGTCCACCCTCTTATTGCGCTTGGGCCCCTCATTCCCTAAAGGCTGATGCCCGCCCGACGACAACATCTTCTCCCCCCACCAGGTCCCGCGATACCGGCGCTTCCGACTCCCCACCAAGGACCCAGATCCCGAAGGGTGATGAGAATGCTGGTGTGTGGTGGCGGTTGCGTGGCTAGCACCCCCCGTTGCTGCCGCAGCAGCAGCAGCAGCAGCAGCAGCAGAGCCGGTGTAGTTCTCCAGCCCGCCGGAGCCGGGGACATCGTCGCTGGAGAAGAAGGCGGGGTCGCTGGAGGGTTGGCTGGAGCGGTCATCGCCGCGGGAGCGGGCGGTGAGAGTGAGGCGGTAGTGGTGGTGATGGTTGTTGTTTTGGTGGTGGCGGCGGGTTGGCGAGGCGCGGTGGTGGATGCGACGCGGGGGTGGTGGGAGCGGGGGATCGAGGGTTGGGTCCATTCTGTGCTCGTTCGGATCAAATGATGTGGTCGAGGAAGAGGTGTAGCGATGAGAACAGAACAAACCACGCTCGAAGAGAGGGCGTGGGCTGCTAGCAAGGGAACTCGGGCGCGGCGATCGGTGGAATCAGATCAGATCACCTCACCCTGTCCGGTCCGTCGGATAGAATGACGTCCGAGAGAATGTCGATCAACTGGGAAAGGGGAAAGATTGGGCGGCGCTAGTTGGATTACACTAGCCCTTCTTGACGCTGGGCCTGCATGTCACCGCTGTCATTCAGGAAATGCTTGAGGAATGTTTGTTCGCGACGGAGTTGAAGAATGGAGGGGTTCTCTTTTTTTTTTGGTGGTGTTGTTGTTGGAGACGCGTCGCGCTGGTTCGGAGCGGGGCGATAAGTGCTACGGAGAGATTGATAACACTACTCCGTACCCAGTACCCTTTTCCGGGTCATGTTTGTGCAGCTACAATGCTGAACGGCTATTTCCAGGTTCACTGTCTCTGACTCGGATTTTCTTCGATTTATCTAGACTATTTCTGCGGACAAAAAATGGTCAAGTTGATTGGGGGTCGGCCACTATACACTGGATTCACCACTACATATGTGCACCGCTTCCAAACTCACAGCGAAACCCCAAGAAAGTAAGAAAAGAAAATAGGTATATAAACTAAATTCCCCAGAGAGATACCTGCGCTGGTCACCACCAGCCATCGAATCCATCAACTCGTCATATCTGAAACGTCATAAAGGGGTATATGGGTCCATAACCGAGCGTCCCATCCGGGTTCCTGATCGCGATCAAGAAACCAGAGGTCGAACGAAGAGAAATTAAGTATAAGCGACGAAAAAAAAGAAATAAGAACAGTTGGAAAAGTGATAAAGAGTCTGGTGGTCATGATGTGTAAGCTTGAACACAATCAATCTCGCGAAGTTCGCAATGTTGACTCTGTTGACTCTGCTCACAGAGCGCCCATGATCAGAGCCAGAGATCCGGCGACAAGCGCAACGGGCATGCCTGCGGTGTTGACGTGGCCGGCGCCAGTGAAAACAGAAGACGCGGTGGCGGAGGCACTGGCCGAAGGAGCCACGACAAGCGAGGTCGGGACGACAGAGGAGCTGACAGCCACAGAGCTGCTAACCATAGGAGCGCTGGGCGCCTGGGTGGGAATCAGAGGTGCGGACGTGGTCGACGCGCTCGAGGAGGTCACGGTGTCGACATGAACCAGCGTCCGCGTGAGGAAAGTGGTCACCGTCGAGGTGGAGGTGGTGTCAGCGTCTGCGGCGACAAGCTGGGCAGCCGCCAGACAGAGCAGGGAAGAGGCAATAGCGCTGATCTTCATCTTGATGGTTTGGATGGTATAGAGGATTGTGTATGGCTTGAAATGATCAAGTGCCGGGGTCGGACAAGATATATACGTGAATTGGCAATGAGGTGAGCGCAGCTACCGAGTCAAAGGAATGAGTGACAGGCGACGGACAGAGACGCGAATGAGTGAGCGTCTGAGTGACAATGCCGGTTGGAGAAGAGTTTCCGTAGGAGGAGCGCTGCTCGAAGCCGAACGAGTGTGAAACAAATCGATGTTTGATGCGACGCGCCGGGGTAGCAGGAAAGAAAAAGGGACGGCCGTGAGCGAGGCGGACCCGGACCCTAAATAAGAACCCAAAAAGAGCCCCTAGGAAAGTTCGAGGCCATCGGTCTCGAGCCCGTCACAGCCAGAGGCACCGCAAGCCCACAACACGAGCGATGGGTCGGGAAAATTCCTCGGCGAGTCGCAAGGGGCGCTTGGAGCCAAGTCGATTGGCCCTGGGGCCGTCAAGAATGCCCCGGGGACATTACTCACGTCGAGTCGTCTACACGGCGCCTGCCGAGAACAAAATCACGGCGCCACGAAGCTCCGCCAGCACATCCGGTGGCACCGGTACAGTACGTACTGCGTTGGCGGTCGTGGTCTGGGTTGAGGTGGATGAGAGCCCGACTCCTTTCTCGCCTCTGGGTTTTTCTCATGCAGGCTTATCCCGGTCGAGTATAAGGACGATTGGACGTGGGCTCTAGCGAGGTCACTAACCCGACCAGGCCCCGTATTAGCTTTGGTTCCTGAGGGTGTCAGCCCAATGACGAGACAGTTGGATCCGGATCCATGGAAGAGGGGTCTGGCGGTCTTACCAGACAGGGTTTGATGGTCGCGAAGCTAGTCTCACTCGTTTTGACTCGTTTTTTGCTGACCCTTGATTGAGTTCCGAACCCCTGGATCAATTCGGATTCGCCCGGATGGTTCCCAAGGCTAATTTGATTTTCTCTTTCATTCTGCAGTGCTCTTTCTCTGCCCCTCTTCCCTTGCGTTCGTGTTTTGTTTCATCTGTTGGTGCAACATGACGCTTTGTCTGTGTGGAGAGGAGGAAGGTGTTTTGGTTTTCCTTTGGTTTGGTTTGTCTCCGTTTCTTTGGTGGGTGGAAAAGAATTGGAGGTGAAGGGAAAAGGGGAGGAGGGCGTGATGACTGATTAGTGGGCGCTAGGCCGACACTAGAAGCGTCTAAGGCACCCACTCACCCACTCTCTCACCCACTCTCTCCACCCGTTCCTGAGGCAAAGGGAAGCAGTCTTTCTTCCCCTTGCAGTGTGCAATCAAATTAACCGGGGATCCTTTGGGTTGGGGTCCGCTCCAACGCACAACAACAGCAACCACAACAACCACAACAACAAAGCGCCATGTTCCGTAAATTTGTAATCTGGAGCTACTGCCTGACTTGCAGCTACCGTCACACCGGTGATCCTTTGAATACTGGGAGCCTCGACTATCCACGCCCACAAAATAGTGTTGTCCATTGTCGTCCTCGTGGCCGCCCGTGGCATCTCGAATAACCTCAATCAGCCACGACCATAGATCAGGAGTTAGTTGAGACATTGGTCCAATGCACGGACCATAGCCGCATTCAAGCACCACCAAGAACAATCGATGAGCTTAGGATGCGGTCCCCGTGAAGAAAAGGGGGGTCATTGTCACCGCTGTTTTCTTTACACTACGCAGTGCGCACAGTGACTGAGGAGACGGACGAGGTGCTTGGCAAGGACGTACAATGGCTTAGGGGCTCAACATCTCTCGAATGGTGCCATCGAAAGCCGGCCTGGAAGTCTCGGGAGCTACTCGGAAAGGACGGCTATTCAGCACGAGGGTTGGCGTTTGGCTTCCAGGACCAGCCAGCTCGAGAAGAGCCTTGCTCGGCTGCATTTGACCCCGCTTTAGTCCGAGCCTTGGGTCATCGCCATTGCACCAGCTCGCGTGTCGATTTCGTGCTGCTGTGAAGTGGCGAAGAAGCCTGCGGATAACGCGCTGGCGTTGCCAAAGTCTGCCCGATGCCATCAATGACCGCATCGTTGCTGTCGGTCCAAATTAGGATGTACGGTACGACTATTTGCCCCAGCATTCAGAGTCGAATGCTGAAAATCTCTCAAGTCTGTCTTGCCTCTACGTCAGTTGACGCTCTAGGCCCTCTTCAGATCGAGCGATTCCTTCAAGTCCCAAGCAGATGGCCATGAACCCATTCTTGCCATTGGACCCCTCATCCCAGGATCATTGAGTTCAGGAACAGACGCACCTAGCACCTGCAGTGGTATGCAGTGGTGTTCTCTAGAGGAGGGGTAGGGCAAGCCCAACCTCAAAATGAAAGGGCCAGAAGGTTCGACACCTTCAAGGACTCGATGGGAGGGGTAGATACAAGTTTTCCGATATTGTCGTTATCGGCGCCGGGACCCTGCCACTTCCCGATGATGGAAAAGAGAACCCCGCACATCCGGACAGGGTTGTTATACGATAGAACAATTTTTTCCGGGCTTGAGTTGCGGCAAATGACCGCGGCGATAATGGGCCATTCACTGGGTTCGAACCTGCTGCACAGATTGCCTTGACCAAATTTAGATAACCGAAAGCATTCGTGTCAATTGCTGACGGTTGATTGTATATATCCGCAGAGACCAACGATGGCACGAGATGCTCAACTTAAACTTCAAGAAAACCTCATTGAAGCCTGTTAGGGATCGTGACTAGTCTGCTGCTGTGGATAATGGGAATATATTTTCCTTCTGCCTGCAAAGTGTGATTGCCTTGTTCCCAGATCGTTTGTAGAAAGGCAGGACGGGGACCTCGGACGTAGGTGATGTAGCTGATCATGTCCCATTGCTAAGGTTTATTTCGCGAACGAAAAATCCATTGACTTGTGTGAGGAATACTGAAATCAGACCTGGCGATTGGATTTGTAGAACATGTCCGACCGGCAAGAGCCGACTTATAGCTGATGTTCTGTATTCGCAGTCTGCAAGCGAGAGCTCAAGACTGGATATGTCTGTATAAGGGCCTGCAAAAGACCTTCCCAAGGCATTCTTAGTCAGCCGTTAATCAATATTGCTAGTAGTGACAATTGAAGTGGAGATTCTTGGTCGAGAAAGTGAGAAGGCTGCATTTCGAATAAATCCAGCGTAAAAAGTTCTTCATCGAGGAAATCATCGGAGTGTAGTGCTGTGCTTCAATGGAAGTAAAACCAGGTAGCGGGCCACATCATGTTAGTGGGGTAGAAAAGACACGGAAGGACAGAATAGGCATTTGTACTAGGGAACGCTATATTAGTCCTATAGACTCTGAACTTAGCCTTGCAAGCTTTCTACCACGAGACTCGCGGTACACACCCGGTAAACAGTATTAAAAGATCCGGTTTTGCCGGTATACTCTCGTAGTAACCAAGCGGATATCCTTCTTGAGCCCCAGGCTTCATTAACGGCTGTAGGCTGCCCGGTACACTTGAAATGGTCTGCTTTGGTAAAATGTTTTTAGCTCGTCGGCAATAGTAGGTCCTCGCTCAGATATTACTTCAAGGTTCGGACTGATCAAGAGCCTATGCGATGGGTGAATTCTGCGAAGTATCCAAAACTGTTAGGAAACATGCAGCTGGCTTAACGCCTATCGAGGACTGCCTTGATAAAGGCAGGAAGATTGAATCTATTATTGACTTC